CACAACAGCCTCGAAGGAAGCTGTATTCCCGTTCTCACTTTACTTACACGAATATAAATACTAGGGCTGGGCAATTGATCGATTCACCTACCGATTAATCGATTACTGCTTTAATCGCGATTGATTGTTTTAACCGGTTAATCGGAAAAATTTTAACAAACAAAAAAGTAAAAACTTAACGCTTTCACCACGCAGACGTGGACGAGTACACATGAAGCCAAATTTATGTGAAATTCTGACCCAAAGTAAATTGTAGGGGCGAGATTTTCAGCTCTAAACAAATGAAGAAGGCTCTACGCGTCCCGGTTACTTAAACGCCACGCGAGTGCCCGTTTACAGCAGTAGAATCTATTGTGAACAATCAAAGGAGTTCGCTAATGCCCGAGAATATCAAGGATCATATGTTTGCCTCTGCGGCTCAAGTAATAATTTGTGAGTGTGGGTGTCTCGGCTGTTCTCGACTACACATCAAGGCTAATCTGTAGTTCAGCAAAGGGGAAAAAAAAAAAAAAAACTAATTTCGACTTGTTTAGAATAGTATGGATAGGAATGAACGAAACCGATTACTCGATTAATTAATATATTGAAGGGTGTCCATTAATCGGGTTAAAATGTTTTATCGAAGCCCAGCCCTAATAACTACATGTGTGATTAGTTTGGGAGCTGTCGCTGCTCTGAGCTCGCTCCCCGAGCTTGACCTCGCTCGAGCTCCTCTTTTTTTCTGCACAGTCCGCAGCTTCAAGTAGTTCCCCTCCAGCAACGAGGTCGGTAGATGGTTCTGAGTTGCGGTGGTGTACGCCCCCAAGTAAAGGTTCGTCGAGGGTAATTGGGGATCCTCTGTGGGTTACGACAGGAAACAGGCTGTCTGTATGTAGGAGGAACGAGGGATCATGAGGCGGGCAATGTTGTTCCAAAGACGCGATTGTACATTTGAAGTTGGAGCTGCATTTAATGTCAAAGTGGGCTGGCTCCGGGCGATCAGTTGAGATGGTGTCTTTTTGTTCGTTTGAATCCGAAAGAAAATATTTCTGTGGCTCTCAATAATTCGGAAAGAGCCGTCGTAAGTGTGCTGCAAAGACTTGCGACTCCCGTCATGGGGGACGAATGCGTGTGTGCAGTGGCCAAGTCCATAAGAAACGCACGTTGGCTTTCGTTGCTGTAGCCGAGGCGGGGTTGCTCGAAGGGCATGCACGCATGGCAGTCGTAAGCTGAGTGGCGTGACTGGGGGGATTGATAATGATAGCTTGATCTGAAGGGTCGACGAATTTGCCTGAATGACAAAGTGGTGTGCCATACACCAGCTAGGCAGGACTGCAGCCTGGGTCTTCCTCGGGGACTGTTCGAAGTCCCAGTAGGACCAAGTGGAGATATAGATGCTCCAGTTGTAACGGTCATCGTGCGCTGTAAAAGACGCCTTCAGCGTGAGGTGGAATCTCTCTACGACGCCGTTAGCCATAGAGTGATATTCTGTAGTATGAATACGTGAGCAGCCGAGTAGTTTAAGGAGCTTCCAGATAAACGCCGATTCCAACTGCCTGCATCGGTCGTTGGATACAGATGAAGGCACGCCGAACAGAGCGATCCAACTTGCGACGAATGTTTTCGCGATTGTTTCGGCGGTGATATTGGGAACGGAAAATGCTTCCAGCCAACGGGAGAAGCGGTCGATGCAGGTTAGTAAGTACGAATTTCCTGGAGATAACGGAAGAGGACCCACGATGTCAAGGTGAACTGCATCAAAACGTGCCGTCGGTGCCAGAAAAGTATGGTACGGTGAAGATGGCGTGACGTTGAACCCTGGACTGCTGGCAAGACAGGCAAAAACGGGCCCAATTTCTTACATTTTACGATATAACGATACTATGCGATACGAAGTTTATTGATTTACCACACAAATAGATGTGATGAATGGGAGGCCGGAGAAAAAGCTGCAGAAGTGCAGATTGAACATGGTGCCTGGAGCGCCATTTCAATGACTGATGTGTTTAGCGTCCTATGCTGCCCATACATCAGAAGTGGTCCCAGAGTGGCGACAAATGACGTCACAGAAGCCGAAGTGTCCCAAATTTTGCACGAATCCAAAAATGCACGATGTACAGATATTGTCCACCATTCATGATATAGCGGCAAAAACTCAAGAGCCGTACCGACCACGGTGTATCGATGAATGCATGGATGTGGTGATGAAAGTGGGAACGGCACCCGCAACATGCAGTAAAACCAAGTTAGACAGCATTGTAGGGTATTTCCAGCAGAACAATTTAAACTTAATTGTTTCCGATAAAGAAGGAGGATTTGTTGTAGCTCCCCAATGATATTTACACGAGTAAGGCAAGAATGGCCATCGGGAAAATTTTTAAGAAACGAGAAGGTTACAAGTCCAAGTCAGTGAAGGCCAGAGCTCTACAACTGTGCCACAAGTTTGAGTTAGAGCAATTACGAAAACAGATAACATCAGCCGATAAAGACCAACTGGGCTTATTCTTCACCGGGAAAACACACAAAGAAGCGTGTCCTTTCCGTGTGGTCATTACAGAAAAAGGATCGTGGCAAGGAGCCATGTCAAGGTTCCTCCAACGGCAACTGGCAGACCTACAACTGAATGACCCTTTTCTGGTCTCCAATACTGAGAAGGTGATTGACTATCTGGGAAACAACATCTTATCTGTTCGGTATGGCCTATCCCTCAATGTAGAAGACTTATTTTACTCCATACCTCACGAGGGAATGTTTACTGTTTTGAGAGAACACATTGAAGCCAATGGAGAAGTAGTCTTTCAGAACAACTGTGGAATGGCAGTGGATTCCTTCCTTGAGATTCTACGGTTTTACTTGAACTCAACTGTGGTAACGTTCAATGTAGAACACTACATACAGAAGAGAGGAATCTGTATAGGATCCTGTGTAGCTCCTGCTTTGACAAATGTTTACCTCTCGAAATGTAATAGAGCCATTGATGACAGCCTTGACATTCCCCAGGTTAGTCGTATATTCAGATACGTAGACGACTATCTTATCCTCCTCAATGCCCGACCCAAATGTGGGACACAGTTCATGGATTCCGTTCAAACGACATTCGAAGAACACGCTGGGGGACTAAAGTTCACGCATGAATGGCCGGAAAACCAGTCCCTCCAATTCTTAAATCTCAAAATAACATTCCACGAAGACAGTGTATGCTGGACGTACGCCCCACGAACAAAGAAAAGTCTTCTGCAATTCGACTCCGCACACACTAAGCTCGTCAAGAGAGGAATCGTTGCCAGTACGTTGGGGGCGGCTCTGAGGAAGTCTTGCGACCACACAGCAGGAGAGAGCTTCAACAACCAGCTGCAGAGACTTCGCGCTTCAGGGTACCCGACTTAAGTTATTTCCACCATCGTGGAGAGCATGTTAAAACAACGTCAAAGAGGAAGTCCAAACCGAACAAAGATCCGACCTGTGGTAATGCCCTACATTCACCGTCTCTCCCATAACCTAAAAAGAGTAGCCGCAAAGTTTGATGTTCCTATCCTCCTCACAGCGCCCCACAAACTTAAAAGATTATGTCCAAAAATCAACGAGCAGCAGGATACACACGACCTATGTAAAATCAACCATGCAAGAAAGTTCGTGGAATGTCACAGCGGCATCATATATGAAATACCGTTGTCATGTGGGAAGGTGTATCTGGGGCAATCTGGAAGGTGCATCAAGTACGCCTTCGATTGCTCTGACGTCAAAAGAGCTCTAATTTTTGAATTTTAGTCCCTAAATTATTTTTTTCTTGTTTTCTTATTTTTTTTCCTTCTTCTCAATTTTCATTTCTGTGCAAGCCAACGCCCTTGGGATCACCGTCGACATCGTGGTTCTTCTTCTTTTTTTCTGGCTGTGAAAACCAGTAACCGTTGGGTCACCGACAACTTTGTAGATCACATATGAATATTTGTACGTAGATATATTCACTTGGGTTACTTAGAAATGCAAATTGTCGTTCCGTATGTCATTTCATTTCATTTCGGATGGTAGTTATTTAATCTTGAGTAAAACTGCACGCAGAAAAAGCGCTGGAAGTCCTACCAACAACGCCGCTCAGAAGTGTGGCATATTTTTTTTCAGTCAAGTTGTTACTACCAAGGCAGTGTGTTTTTGAGGCTTGCAACCACGGCACACAGCCGAGATAGCGACGAGGCGCCAGAGACCACTACGTCACTCTTCTACTCATGATTGTAGAAAGAGCTCGTGGTGCTTTTACTGCCCATCGAGCTACGGATTCGAGCGACAAAAACACGAAAACTGATAGATGAATGTCTCCAAGGATGCCCCTCATAAATTTTTTTTTTTGCATGTTTAGCCTCTAATAGTAAATGCCGTCATTACTGCAATTTCACCATGACCCGGCATCAAGCTCTCAATAATTAACCAATTAAAAAAAAACTGTTGTCATCGACAGCTTTTCTTCCACAGAAGGCCCGCTGAGCCCAATACAAGCAGTGAAAATAGTACTCCCGTAGCAATTACCACTTTCTCATAAAATTGTCTGAAAAACAAAAATCTCGTGTAATTCAAAATGCAACTTTTATAAGCATACGTCTTAAAGTCGCTGTAAGACTACAAACTCGGAAGCCGAAACGTCCATCAATAAACGAACGTGTAAACTTTGACATTACACGAAGCGGGACATTTTAATTACAGTCCAAATCATTAGAACCGCTTTGCAGCGTAAAATTAATTGTTCAACAATATAGCATTCCAGGTCTTACTCATTTTAATAATAGCCGCCTCGGTGGCGCCCAGGCAAAATTGCCGGATGACGGATTCCCAGGTGGCAGGTTCGAATCACGGCCGAGGGGGCAGCAATCTGAACCAGGCTTATTGCGGGGAAGGCGGCATCTCGTCGAGATTTCGATCGCACGTCCAAAGATCCTCAGCTCGTCGCAATTAATCCTTATAGTCCTCCACTGGTTCGTATCAGATGTCCTTCGTTACCTCGGCTTGTAAAATACCGCAATTTTATTTTATCATTTTGGACATATTTTACAAGAACTATTTAGAACTTCTTCTCCACTGCCTTCATGAATCACCAATTGCATGCATCCCTATAAAACAAAAATTAGATTCATTTTGACCACTCGTATAAACGGAAGTGCACATAATGTGCCGTTCATTGATTCTTTATGGTAAGGCATTATGCCACATAATTATAATATTTATCCACTTTTAATAAAATGACCCTACCTTAAATAGACATGATGTGGCGGCAGGATGTAGATACATTTTTGTTAGCCATGTGCCCATGATACACGTATACTGTAAAAACATTTATTCTTCAAGCTATGCCCATAAAGACAATGAAAAACCCTGATCTTCGATGCGTAAGCCTTCGCGTTGTCAAGAACCACACGTTTCCAAGAAAGTCAGTTTTGCATTCATTTTGTATAGCTCCAAATATCTATTTCAAATAAACTTCTAAGCTACTATTGTGTTAGCACCAGACTTGTGCTCGTTACTTGAAAATTGCAATGGAATTTACAGTAAACTTTTAAGGGGTTAGGCCATGTAAGTAGTGCGGACAGAAAAGGAGAGAACGCGTAAAAAGTGGTGTGATCCTCTATTGTTTTGTGTGACCGATGGCCACCCCTCCTCTCGCTCTCTATACCCTCCCCTCCCCTGGACTCCACAAATACTGGTATGAAAGTGAGAACTGATGAACAATCGATAACTCGTAAACGCCACTTTTTTTCTTAATGGTCGAGTTTTTGTCATGGAGTGTCCGTCGTCTCCACGGCCATCTCTTAATGAGATGTTCAAAATTCAGGGCATTAAGAACGGAAACTTAAAGTTTCAGTGCATACTTTGCCTGCCAAAAAAACACACCGCCATTGTCTCCAGCAAGAACAGCAAACTAATCTACAGAAATACATCAAGGCAAGCTAGGACTTCTCAATTGGCTGTACTTTGTAACGTTAGAACCAAGTTTTTCTTTTCCTTATCTTGTGAATAATAGGGAAACACCTGAAGCAAAAGGGAGCTTTCGTAGATCGCTTCTTTAGCTCCGAAGCTCGTAGCGGAGGTAGACGCTGCTACTGAGCATGCGCAGCACTAGCTTTGTCTGCACAATTTCAGACATCATTTTCGGAGGCCGCAAGCTAGCGGGATGACGTGTGTGGTGGCAGCTTTCGGTGCCTCGTCAGTTTAGAGCTAAACGGAGACAAACAGAAATTGCTTCATCATACTTTTCATGTGGTGAAACTATACGGTGTCATCTGCGTATAGAAACATTTTTGACGGAAGGGACAGAAATTCTAACCCATTCATTTAAATGTTAAATAACGTAGGTCCCAAGGTACTTCCTTGTGGCACCCCGAATTAACCTTGAGCCGTGCTGCTAAGATTATTCATTATCTTAACCATTTGGAATCTATCCTTGAAGTAAGTTTTAAAAAATTGATAAAAAGGAACCCCGAAACCCCATACTATATAGTTTTTTTCAGCAATAACGAATGATCGATGGTATCGAATGCCTTTGACAGGTATATGAAAAGAGCTAGGACTTTTTTGTTTTTATCGAGTGTTTCGGTAATGCAGTCAGCGAAATCTTCGAGCAGAGTAATGGTACTTTTCTGTTGTCGAAAGCCGTACTGCATAGTGCTTATCAGGGAAACTTTGTCGCAAAAATCATGCATTGCCATTTGAACCCATTTTTCGATTACGTGTGTCATGAATGGTAGGATTGATATAGGTCTGTTGCTCCCGACCTCTTGCTGCTTTCCTTTTTTTTGTAACGACCTTATCACAGATACTTTTAAACCCTTAGCAATATTTCCGGTGTGCAGTGTGTCATTCACAATTTTAAGCAAAATTTGTTTTACTTTATCGAAACTGTAGCGTATGTCTCTAACTCGGATATTGCCGATTCCTAACGTTTTTGTTATTGACATAGCGTGGATAATACGCTACAAATCACATTCTTTCATATCTGGAAGATAAGCTGAGTTGACGCAGCATGTTGGGGAAACGTCATTTAAGCTGGTCGCCGGTAGAATATATTTAATTTCTTTTACGTCGTCGATAAAGATTTTGTTGAACATTTCTGCTAACTTGCTGTAGGAACTAGATTCTTTATAAGGTTTTTGTATCAACTGGTTTACATAATAATTTCGTTTCGCCAGACGAATTACAGCTGTAACATCACCAGGATTTTGCTTGCATCGCTTCCAAAGACTCTCCTTCTGATGACACAATTCTAATATTTCCGGATTTATCCAAATATTTTCGGGCCTTCTTTTTTTTTTTTAATTTCACCTTTCTAGTATAGCGCTTGCATAAATATCCTGAAATGGGTGAACCAGCTTTTCCTAGACTGTTAGGTGATCATAGTCTAGCAAGGAATTCCAATCGTACCTCTGAATAAAACTATCAATTTTGTTGCTATCTAGTATAGTTTTATACTCGTCCTCCACTGTTAGGTTTCCAAGCATATCTTCCCCTAATTTTAAAAGAACCGTTATATAATGATCAGCAAGCTTCTGCTTAATTACTCTAGATAATGTGTTTAAGTTGCTTATTCTAGTAACTATGTGGTCAATACATGTCTTTGTTATTTTATCACCGTAATGTTCTTCCCGTGTATAATCCTGAATAACATTTTCAACCCCAATAGCAGAAAGGGTGTCAAGATAGCACAATACTCCAGGTTTTAACTCATTCGAAACATCAATATTAAAATCTCCTGCAAGAACTAAATATTTATTGTTACCGAATTTCGGAAGCAGCTTTGATAATTCATCACAAAACATGTTTAAATTGGAACTGGGTGGTCTGTAAACGGCACAAACTACATAAAAGAACTTATCCTTATTTACGACTGCCGCGCAAATTTCTGCATTATCCAATTTAACATCAATTCTATCGGATAAACAGTTGTTATTTATGTATAATAAGATTCCCCCACCCCTTCTGCCTTCTCTGCATATATTGTAGGAATGAAAACCTGTTTGACTAAAGAACGCACAAGATGCCTCGTGTAAATTTACCTCGGTTAGTATAAGCACATCAAGGAGAGGAAGCCGGCCCGCCAAAAGCACCATTAACGGATCAAAATACATGTAATAAACTTAACTTTGTATTCACGCAACCGTCCTTTGCTATTGACTGTTTTGTGTAAGCGTCCCAATCCTCAAAAGACTCAAAAGAAGACTGCATATTTATCTAATTTTGGCGAAATCTCTTTCGCTCTCAATCTGAATTACTGCAGCGCTCTCGTTCTGTCTCACAAAAATCTTTCCATTTTTTACCCATGTATACTTGTATTTATTTCCTCTGGCACATGCCTTTTTTGTCCACAACAAATTCTTGATTGCTCGGGTTAAGTTTTCATTAATGTAAATGTTTTCGCTCGTAAGACTAGCTCGTTTTTTTGCCCAAACGTCTCTCGTGCGCCTCTCAGTGAACCTCACCAGTATGGGTGCTGGTCTACCTTCCTCTGCTCTTAGTCTGTGGGCAACCTCGACGTCAGTGATTGCGAGTGGTGGCACGTCTAGCTTTGTAGCAATGTCGTTAATTACCTCTAACAGTCTTTCGTTGGGTCGTTGAGTGACTCCGTGAATTTCGATGTTCTGCCTTCGGGAATATTGTTCCGCATTGTCGACGGCCTTTCGTAGTGCCCAGGTTTCTTCATCCCTTTGAGTTATTTCCTCTTCTAATTGATTCATCGTCTGTTCTAGACCCTTAATTGTTTTGTCTTGGCTGTCCAGTCTAGATATCCGCTCTTGGTGCCTTGCTGACTGGGTATTTATAGATTCTTCAATGCCCTCAATCGTCCTCCCTTGGTTTTCAATCTTAGACATCAACTCATCACCTTTTCCAGTCTGAGTCTCCAGCGTCTTTTCAATTACGTCGATTCTAATCAGGAGGGCAGTCAGTTTCGACACATGACACAACTTTTGCCTACGACGCATGACACAAATTTTGGGCAGTGAAGCCTCCTTGCGGGATTCTTCCCTTCTATGAGAACTCTTTTTGCAGCGTCTGCCTTCGGATGTCCGAAGGATCCTGGCAACATCTAGCAATATTACTCTCGACGACCTCGCCGAACTCGCCGACAAGATTCTAGATACGGCCCCACCCATGATTCAGGCGACCACTTACCCCACAAGTGGCCACCCGCTACCTGCGACAGAGGCGTCTCCCTTTGATTTTCAAAGGCTGCACGATGACGTAGCCCATTTGATAACTGAGGTGGCTGCTCTTCGACAAAATCGTCCTAACCTGCCCGAACCGCATCACATGAGACGCTCTTTTTCCAAAGGCTAAGCAGACACACCACCAGTTTGCTGGTACCACCGTACCTACGGACCCCGTGAGCACAACTGCTCTCCACCTTGCAGCTGGCCGAAGGAAAACCCCAGAAGCACTTACCGCAGGTGACAAGTCAAGTGCTTAGTCCCTCTCCAGGTCACCTTTTCTTTATCGTGGAACAAAACACAAAAGCGAAATTTCTAATTGACACCGGAGCCCAAGTAAGCGTAGTACCACCGTCTCCCACAGAACGGAAATCCAAAAATGTTGCTTCGAGCTTACAGGCAATAAATGAATCCGGCATAGCTACATACGGACAGAAGTCGCTTCATCTCAATCTTGGGTTTGCGCGGATTTTTCGCTGGATTTTTCTTATTGCTGATGTCCACCATCCCATCTTGGGAGCAGATTTTTTGTCATATTTTGGCCTCTGCGTCGATGTACGTCATTCACGTCTTTTTGACACCACAACCCGACAAACCGTTACAGGGGCCATCACAAAGGCATCTCTGTCACCCTCACCTCACACCACCACTTCTATCTATGACAACTTATTGAGAGAATTTCCAGACCTGGAGGGGGGGGGGGGGGGGGGAGGGGCTAGACCAAGCAACATTATGCGGCCTTTAAAGCATATATGTTACGCACCATATTGTAACCTCCGGGCCACCGGTTTAAGCTTGAGCTCGAAGACTAGCTCCGGAACGCCTTCAGATCGCCCGTCAAGAATTTGACCACATGCTGGAACTTGGCATCATCCGACCACCTTCGAGTTCGCGGTTTTCTCCACCTCACATGGTGCCTAAGGTGACTCCAGGGGATTGGCGTCCCTGCGGCGATTATCGCGATTTAAACAACGTAACACAAGCTGATCAATACCCCGTGACTCACATTTAAGAATTCTCAAGCAAACTACACGGGATGAAAGTGTTCTCTAAATAGATTTAATCAAGGCTTACCACCAAATTCCCATCGAACCAAGTGACATTCCCAAAACGGCTATTACTGTAGTGAGGACACGTGGCAATAGATGGCTCCACATGTGTTGTGCTGCGGGACTACCGGAAGCGGAGCTTCTTCCGGTTGTTGATTTAAGATTAAAGGCACTTTTTGGGCGAGCTGTCACACGGGGTGGTTGTGCTCCTTCTGCCTGGAGGGTAACCGGTCAAAAGCTCACCGGACAAAAGCTCACCAGACAGAAGCTCACCGGAGAAAAGCTCACCCGTTTTTTCACAGACCCGGACAAAAGCTCACCTCATTTTTTTCTCTACCCGGGCGAAACACGGACTGAAATAAAATGCGGACGCGATGGACATTGCACCATTTTTAGGTGAACTTGTACCCCTACGGTTGATGAATGCCATTTCGTCGAAACATGTTTTAGAGAACGGGCACGTTTTATTGAAGCACGGTTTAGAGAAAGCTGAGTCTCAGTTTAGAGATATGCCGTTTATTGAAATGGGGACGCTATTTAAAAAAGGGTTTTTTACTCCGCGCGTGTATCACTGGCGCGCGTGTTAACCCAAACCCCCTGCCGCGCTCCCGCCGCTTCGCGGTGGCAGTCTGCGGCGGCTCATTACAAAAATGTTAACTCACCTGACTTATCCGTACACGCCGCTTCGCGGTGGCCGAATTCGCTAAAAGGAGGCTCATCACCTTTTTCTCTAAACTTGATTTCTCTATAAGACCAACATGAAATTTTTTCCTGGTGAGCTTTTGTCCGGGTCTGTTAAAAAATGGGTGAGCTTTTGCCCGGTGAGCTTTTGTCCGGTGAGCTTCTGTCCGGTGAGCTTTTGTCCGGTGAGCTTTTTTCCGGGATTCGCCTGGAGAACCATGTGGTCGCACTCGGACGTCCACGGTCACAACATGGTGTCAGAAGTGGCCGGCCTCCCGGTCTGACGTCCTCCTCGCTGCTGCTATGCTCACAGCTAGCCCTGCTTCTTGTCGTCTTCGCGTCGCACGCTGCTACGCTTTCCGTCTTCTCGTCACCGTCGTGGCGTTCCTCGTCATGTCGCAGGAGAAAACAACGGAAGCCGCCACCGCCCCCTTCGTCTCACTCCCGAGCTTGGTTCCACAGCCCAAATTTGACTTCGCAAACCCCGACAAGTGGTCGCAATGTTTTCGACAATTCGAAGACTTCAGCTTTGCATCAGGCCTCTACCAAGCGTCGGACGAAGTTCAGGTGCGGACGTTACTGTACACTATGGGATCCGAAGAGGCGCGGCGTGTTCTTGAGACGTTAGACCTCACCGCAGAGGAATGGCAGTCCTTCGTTGCGGTAACAGACAAGTTCAAGGCACACTTCGTGCATCCACCGAACGAGGTGTACAAGAGCGTGCTTTTTCACCGGCGGGTCCAGGAACGAGAGGAAACTGTCGACAGTTTTTACACGGCCCTTCGAGCGCTCGTCCGCAAGTGCAACTATCCGTCCACAGAGGACGAGGACAGGCTCGTTAGAGACCGCTTCGTCACAGGACTTCTCGACTCGAGACTTTCTGACAAGCTCTGCCGCTGTCCGACCCTCACCATGGCCGAGGCCCGGCTACAAGCACGCATCCACGAAGACGCCGTCAAGGCGCGGGTGACCGTTTTTCGTGACGAGACAGGTGCCGTCGCACCTGAGCAGCTCAAGCTGGATGAAGCACGTGTGAAGAAAGGACGGAAACCGGCCCCCAAGACCCCAAGACGTCTCCCAAGCGAGACTCGGCGTCGTCGCCGAGAGAAGGCAGCAAGGACTGCAGATTCTGCGGCCGTGGAGCGCACCCCCGTAACGAGTGCCCGGCTAGACAAGCCAAGTGTCACTACTGTCGACGCCTGGGTCACTTCAAGGATGTCTGCGAGAAGGGGAAACGAAGTTTGAGCACTGTTCATCTACATGCTGTTTCGACCGCGGGCCGAGCTAAGTTTGTCAAGGTCGCCGTCAACGGGTACGACGTCGACTTCAAAGTGGACTCCGGAGCCAAAGTCACGGTGGTGCCAAGCACGTTTCCCGAAGCACCTCGCAGTCTCCAAGAGCCTGAAGGGCAACTCACTGGACCGGGCAATCACCCATTGACTGTTCTCGGTGAATTCCAAGCCACATTGACTTGGAAAGGCAAGTCGGTAGTGGAGCGGGTTTACGTCCTGCCGTCGCAAGACCCGCCTCTTTTGTGGTTTCCTGCGATCCAGAAGCTCGGTGTGGTGAAGTTCGTTGACGCCCTCTCCAGTTTCAGCCAGCAGAGCCCTCTTCACAGCGACATCTTCGAAGGGTTGGGTGAGCTGAAGGACAAGTATGTGGTTCGACTCCAGCCAGGAGCACAGCCGTTCTCCCTCAGCGTTCCTCGCCGCATTCCAATTCCCCTTCATAACATTGTCCGCGAAGAACTGGATAAGCTGGAAGCTGACGGTGTGATCCGCAAAGCTGACGATCCGACGGACTGGTGTTCTGGTATCTTTGTCGTCCCCAAGTCCTCTGGAGGTTACCGGGTCTGTGTCGATCTCACACGCCTTATCCAGGTGGTCCAGCGGGAGCCTCACGTCCTCCCATCGGTGGAGCACATCCTGGGACGTCTGGGTCCTGCACGGATCTTTTCCAAGCTCGACGCTACAGTCAGTTTTCACCAGATCAAGCTATCAGCCGAAAGTCAGCTCCTCACGACCTTCATCACCCCGTTCGGCAGATACTGCTTCTGTCGCCTTCCTTTTGGAATTTGCTCCGCGCCGGAGTATTTCCAACGTCAAATGGGGAGGATCCTGGAGGGTCTCGACGGAGTCGTCCACATGATCGACGACATTCTGGTCTTGGGACGCACCCAAGAGGAACATGACCAGCGTCTTGCAACAGTGTTGGGTCGCCTCAGCAGTGCCGTAGTGAAACTGAACAGGCTTAAGTGCGTCTTTTCAGCGTCCGCTGCTAGGTTTTTGGGAGTCACAGTCAGCGCAGACGGTATCAGCCCCGATCCAGACAAGGTCCAGGCTCTGGTCAACTTGGAGGCCCCAGCGGACGTCAGTGGTGTTAGGAGACTTCTCGGCATGGCTAATCACGTAGGCCGTTTTCTTCCACACCTGTCCGACGTGACTACGCCGACTCGTGCTCTTCTCCGAAAGAACAGTGCATGGTGTTGGGGGGCCCAGTCAGCAGTCTGCCTTTGATCGTCTTAAGGGCATGTTGAGCTCCAAAGTCTGCATGGCCAACTACGACCCTTCGTACCATACCACAGTGTCGGCTGATGCAAGTTCGTATGGACTGGGAGCCGTTCTGCTACAGGACCAACCATCGGGAGAGCGTTGTGCCGTTGCCTACGCTTCGCGATCTCTTACACCAACAGAAACCCGGTATAGCCAGACGGAGAAAGAGGCTTTGGCCGTCACATGGGCCGTTGAAAGGTTCGACCAGTTCGTCCGTGGCATCAGGTTTGATGTCGAAACAGATCATCGACCCCTCGTCACTCTGTTGGGATCTGCAGAACTGGACACTATGCCTCCTCGCATTCGGCGCCTGAGGATGCGGCTTATGGCCTACCAGCACAACGTTCTCTATGTACCGGGGAAGCTCCTGGCGACAGCAGACACCCTTTCCCGAGCTCCTGTACAGGCTGCCGACAACAAAGTAGACACCGTCGAGCTCTTCGTTGGGTCACTGCTCAAGGACATCGAAAGTCTTGCATCCACTCGCCTCGAT